ACACCAGGAACAGTGACTAGAAGACTCAGCTGAGGCACGGTAGACCTAGAAGGAGCTGACCGGACAACTTACCATACCGCATCCAAACAATGAACAGGATCAGGTTGTAACTTTGGCTATTATCAAATAATCAACCCTCGCCAGAATAGTATCTGACTGATAGAAATATTCTTCAGGGGCTGCGCCTATGGTAAAAGATTGTAGTCCAATCCTCTACAAGGCAAAGCTTTTGAAAAGCCTGGAGTATGAATACAAAACAGAACTGAAATGTCAAATTTTGATGCCTAAATTAAGCAGATAGAGTTGCATTTGGATTAATAAATAAGAAACAGTCCATTTTCACATATGCTAACCAAGGAAAGCTGTGAGTATTCTGAACCTAAGAAAAACGTCACTTTTAACTATTCTTCTCTTGAATAGGCTGAGTACTCAAGTTGGCTTATACATTTAAAACTCCACTTAGCTAGAAGTGTGATCATAGTGCCATATTATTGGTCTTGTATTAGGGATCTGCTTTGCTCTGGGCTTGTGCTGCAGGTGTGCCAGGTTCTCCCACCCATACCTGCAGATCCTGGTTTCTTAGGCTGGGGTGCCAAAGGCAAATGGCTGTAAATATGGGTCATGCTACTGCCTGTGGACACCAGCAGCTGGTATTGCTCTTACCACCCTCTTTAGGAGAACAGTATTACTTTAATGCTTCCATCATATGCAAAACAATTTAAATGGTTCTGTAACCTCTTAATAGATGCTTTTTTCATTTTAGTTGGTGTCCTTCTGCTTTGCACTCATCAGGCTAGGAAGAAAAGGAAACAGACTGAAAACTACTGATGTTATTTGTTAAAAATGTAAGAGAGAAAGCCTGTCTTCAAAGATAAACCAAAAAAATACAAACCGAGGAAAGTAACTAAATGTTCAGAGCAGATTTTCTATGACGCTTAGAATTAGATGCCTATTAGAGATAATGCTATCCTGCTTTTACAGTCATTGAGAAAACATATTTATTAGTTCAGAGGTGTGAATGAAAGTTAAATATAAATATTTAAGACTTTTAACCATTTCATTTTGAGCGTGTTAGTCAAGAAAGGATTCTAAACATAATTTAAAAAGCAAGAAAGCTATAAAATCTGGAAGTGTTAGAGCTGGATACCATGAGTAGTGGGAAACAGGTGGAGGTGTAGAATCTGGAATGGACAAAAAAGGCAGAATTTTTTAAGTCTAATGTACATTTCACACAAGCTGAAGTGATTTCAACATAATGCAACAATGCTGTTATCAAACAGGAGCAATTGTCTTCTTATTCCTTGGATGGCTGGTTGAAATTTAGAAGGTCTACTCTTTGCCTGTGCATTTCATTTCAAAAATGCCACAGTTTTATGAAATGTAAATTTCAACTTTCCACTAGCTTATGCTTAAAGAAGGTATTTTAAGAATAAAGATGAAGTAATTGTATGAATAGTTAGAGAGACTCCTCTCAAACATAACAGATATAATTGGAAAAAGCAGAAACTGTGTGTCTGTAGGGAAATTTTCCAAATGACAGTTTGCCTTCTTTGCTCTAGGATTGACCTTTTGATAGTGAAGGAAGTATGATAGGTAGACTGTGGATAAACAAATTAAACCAAAACTTTAAACCTTGACAAATGTCTGGATGTAAATGAAGATCATTTTTGGTGGGGTCTCGAATCGGTTCTTATTTCAAATGATCTCTTTTGCCCTTTCACGTAGAAAATAAAAAATATACAAGAACATAGTGGTTGGATTAAACTTTTGCTGCCTATATGGATAGTGTTTCTAGCAACTTGAAAAAAAATCCAATATAAGGACGGTTCAAAATGTGTTCCTTGATTCATACTACAATCACCAAGCACAAAAATGCCATTTCAATTGGATTTATTAGTAACATTTTGCCATAGCAAAAGGGTATATGAAAAATAGAAAGAGCAGTGTATTATTTTTAATGTTTTTGTATTGTGTTAAAGTATTTAGAGATTAATTCAGGAAAGCTCTTATGTAAGTGTCTGAATTCAATGGGGTGTAAGCACTTTTCAGAAGCATTGCTGAAGTATTAATTTGTGCAACAGAATGTTTGATGGTATGAAAAGGAGCCCCGCATTTCTTACTGCTTTTTGCACGCTGTAGGTACTGACCTTTTGCAAGTATACCATGGACACATTTATGACTTGTAAGATTTAGACATCTAAATGCCCATTATTTGTACAAATGTGTGCATGGCTACATATCTTGTGAAACTAGTTCCTGCCTTTGTGTACTCTACAGGGAGAGGAGAAGATTAAAAGCAGAAATATTTATTTAATACTTTATTTAAAGTAGTGAGTCTACGTGTCAGATTATCTAACAAGATCTAAAAAGCGTGCTGTAATGGTACAATCAGTCATTCCATCATTCTACAAGAAATGCTGTGACTGTCCTTTCTTCACAGCAGGAGGGTCCACAGTTTGTCACATGGATGGGTTACAGCTGAGCTAATACTTCTCAAGTATGCAGCCACATGCATAATCTTGTTAAGAAATGTGCTGGAACCCCTAGCCAGCCGACCACAGAGAAAACCTCTCACAAGGGGTTAAAGGAACTGGTTTTGTAGGAACTAAAGTCAATAATTTGAAAGATAAATGGGAACTGGTATCATTAACTTTGAAACAGCAGGAACGAGTTGGGGCTGGCTGTGATACTGCGCAAAGTTTACACAATGCTGATCAGCTGAGACTCAGACACTGAACTCTCTTTTCTGCTTTGAGGATCTTCTGAGCAGTGTACTTGGGGAGAAACATTCAGAAGTGTCCTTAGATGAAAGAACAGAGCAATTAAAGTCCTATCAAAGCTGAACAGCTTTGAAGACATGGTAGATAACTAAAAAAAAAGATAAAAATGGTGCTTTATTCTGTTTCTAAAAGCAGTGGGCAGGAACCAAAATGTCAAATTGTAGACTTACTTTTTACTACAACTAGTTGTGAAGCCACCGATGTTTTTAATAATTTAAAGTAAATTTGAACAGAAGAAGATAACTGTGAATCCATATTACATTTCTATGAGAAGTACTGTCTTACATCTAAGAATGAATTACATGAGAAATAGGTTTTTATACAAAGCAGAGAGGAAAATGTAGAAGAGTTTTTAATTATTTGAGCCTCAAAAGATGATTTTACAGTTTTTCAATCCTTAATAAGAAGTCTGGTCACAGTTAGAGTCTAGAGCAAAAGTAAGTGAAGGCAATACACAAAAAAAACCCCTTACCATTATAGCGGAAACTTGCAAAGCAAAGAGAGCCTCTCACTCTGCATGGAAGCCTATGGGATCTGGACGAGTCTCAGAATATTGGAGAGAATCAAAAATGCTGGGGAAGAGATGTGAGAAAGAAAAGTTTGATAATTAAAACTGGAGCTGATGAAAAAGGGAAACACTGAACTGGAAGTGTTCGTGGAAGCAATCTGATGTTCTTGGGGGGGGAACAGTGGGTGGCATCACTTTGCGTGAGCTTGCACGTAACTTTAGACTGACTTTGCACAGAGATCAGAAGGGATCTTCATATGATAAGAGTGTGGCAAATCCGGGTCAGAAGTCCCAGAGAAGATGAAGCATTTATTTGGGTGGCAGTTAATATATGTTCATGAACAAATGTGATGTTGGAATGAAAGATGATGCAACTGAAGGAACTCCTCCCCGCCTCAAAAATTGTAGAAGAAAATTAAGTAAAATTCCAGCTGATAGCGCTGAGCTCATAACTTGTAAAGAGCTTTTAAATTAAATATCTGTGAAAATTACAAACTTAAGTTACATAGTTATTGTGGGGAGAAAAGTACCAAATGTTGAGTTAAAAATATGACACATCTTTCGTCTGATACATTCTCTGAATGGAGTGGGGACAAAAGTAACTGCTTCCAATTCAATAGAAGTATAGTTAAATGAGCCCATATATTATATGAGCACTGCCTTTAGGAGAGTTCCAACACCTTAAAGCAGATAGGTGCTATAAGGAGGTAGTGTTTTTTCACTTTGAAAATCATTAGGTGAGTAGAAGAATTGGGTACAAATACACTTGCTCATAATTGTTGATGAAAATGGATGGAAAAATTTATTTATCTATAAATGTCAAATAACTGCGTAAATACACCAAACTGAAACGTTTACCGCTGTCTATAATGGGGAAATTATTGATGAGATGGCAGCTGCGAGCTGTTTCTCCATGCTTCGTAGTTCATCAGCAGGGTTCTGCACAGCGCCATTAGAAAACACTATATACGTTCCATCACTCCTTGAGAGACTCCATTTCCCTGTATTGCTGTTTGTGTTGTTTGGGGCTCTTGAGTTATTCCACGGGAAGAAAAGAAAAGAATGTATTTTTGATCCTATAAATAATTGTTTTTGATATGTAGTAATATGAATTAAGGTAAAACGGCAGAAGACTCAGAGAAGCTTCGAGCTACCACTCCTGTGTCAAAGCTAAGCAAGTAAAATATATATCATACATATTAAAGAGAACATGTTTAGAAGTGATAGCAATACAATAACGTATGCCTAGAGATTAAATAGGTCTGAGGTCATCAATTTTACCTCAAGGAGTAAACAAAGACATTAAGATTACTTGAGAGGGTAGAAGTTAAGAAAAATTTGAGCTAATTAACCATGAAATGCTACTGTAAAATGCACATTAAATATTTGAGATTAGGAGTTAGTGACCCTAAATAGCGAGGTAATAGATTTCTTTTAAAACCTTTTTGGAAAGGAAAAACTAATAAAGCGTGTAGGTAAGGCTCTCACTTCTCTGAGATAGACTGTCTGAGAATAGTACAGCCCATAGCAGGCATTTACATGAAAGCCCTTTTAAGTGGCATGGAAATTATTGACAATCAGGATCCACAGTGTCGTAATTTCTAACAGCGGCTTTATGTTTAAACTGTTTGCACTGCAAAACCGCAGAAGTTATTCTAAAATAAAAATAATATATAATTACTATAAAAAACTGCTGTTATTTTGCTCAACAGAAAATGAAAACCAAGAAAGCTTATACTGTGGCAGCCCAACATCAAATGCGTCGAGGACGTGAAGACACACACAAGCACTGGTAAGGCACAACAAAATATTTGTTCTGAAAATAACGCGGTACATATCTAGACTGAAAACTGCGATTGCAACAGTTGTGCTTCACAAGAAGCCCTGTTGTCATATAAAGTTGTATGCGTGCTATGGTCAAATAAAGGATATTTTTGCACCAGAAGCAGAAGAACAAAGGATACTGCATTATTTATCTGAAAATATCTCACAAAGACAACAGAGTGGAACCCATCTCACAGCAGTGGTGTTGATATGCTGTGAGATACTGCAAGGCTTGGACACTAGCTGAATAAATTTTTGAAAGTGTTCAGACTTCTGTACTGCGTTAAATGTTAATTATAAGTTGTTATTATTATCTTTGGGGCAGGAAATTTTAAGAGTTTCTTATAAGAAGGTCTGTAAGTGGTGCAAAGACTCCTGTTCTGTAATGCTGAAGGGTTAGAACTCAGACTTCACATGAGGCAAATCTAAGAGCACCGAAGAACAGACATTTGGTCATCTAACTCCCACTGAAAGCAGTGAGAGTCAGATGTCTAAATAAGTTTGAGGATCTAAGTCTAAATTTTTACGTTAATGCAAACAGCTAAAAACCATTTGATTTGGATATTACATAGAGCAACATGCAACAGAATATTGATTTCTTTTCCCTAGAGCAACATAATCAAAGTGAACATCTCCAGTTAAAGCTCTTTCGGAATAAAAAATATTGACCTCTGTCATAGACTCATTCTGTGGCCTTATTGATTAAAAAGATCCTATAAATTTTTCCACTAATTCATGAAGCAAGATAAATAGCACTTAAAAGTATTCTTCTCCACACTAATCTTCATATCTACTTACTAAGTCAGTTGCATGCGTAGTACACGGTCATTGTCGTAGTCTAGCTAGAGGGTAGTCCCATACGTTTTATTATGGCTCCTGTATGATAGGGAATGTGAATGGGGCTCAGTTTTTGTGTAAACACAAATTAGTTTAAGTTTTGACATGCTGTACAGCAAGCACATGAAGCTTCATTGCTGTTCAGTGTAGGAGTTGGTGGTTTTCTCTGCACAGTTTTGTGCTGCTATTGAATATTTGTCTTTAGATGAAAGATTTCTTCTTCCTTACATAATTTCTTCCACCATTTCCACTGCTTTTTGTTGTTTATCTCAGTATTACCACAGTGCCTGTTGGTTTGCTCACAACTGGTTGTACAGTAAGCAAACTCCTATTATTCCTGTTGCTGTTATTTTCATTTGAAACTGCCACTGATTACAGTTTGAGTAAAACACAGCCTTGGAATTTTTAAGGTTGTGAGACAATGTGAGACAACCGTCAAGTGTGTCAGTCTTACAACTTAAACAGCCTGGGCAACTTCCCTTCCAGAGAGTTTTCTGTTGCAGAAGGTGGTTAATGTAAAACAGTAGGTGTTGGGCAGTGGGGAGCATGACATTTCCCCATAACATACCAGTATAGAAGCTGTGATTAGATCTGAGACATAGGTATCTGTGTTGAATTTGAAGTAATGTCAGCAATCATTCTTACTCGTTTGAGTTGAAATCTCAGCTGACAACAGTGCTGCTATTGGCATGATACTTAAGTTGTAGTATTAAGTCTTCTTTTGCAACCATTTCTCTGTTTGGATACAGCACCAAAGTTTTTATTTGACCGTAGAGTAACATTTCTTTCTTTTTCTTGTTTTTTATTGCTCTTTCTCTTCCATCTGGCTTCAAAGCTCTCTACCTTTTCTACATTTGACATTAGATACCTGAAGAGAGCAGGCTTTTAGCAGCTTTTAGAAAATTACCAAATTTCCTACCTGTTACTTGCTTTCCATCTGGTACAAACTATTGAGACAGTCATTACAATAAAATTCGTAATTCCAGAAGACTTCATTTGATTTATGGAGCTCATGTCTTTCAGTTCGGGTGGTACACCTGGTCCAAAATCTTGGAGGCATTGATAGTTTTAAATTATTGGAAAACAGACTTTACCTACCTTTCTGCTATTCTCTTTGGACCCGTTGTTGCGCTGATGTAAACGGGTACTAAACAGAGCTAATTTTGTCTCTTTGAAATATAGTAATATTTGAGTCTTTTTTTAAGCCTGAATTTTTCTTGCATTTACTTTAATACTGAAAATCCTGAGGGAGAAATGCTGCAGTCCTCATTCAGGAAAGACACTCATCTTCTGAATGAATTGAAAAAGCAGAATTTGAGGTAAATTCCTGGCTGTACTGAAGTCTATGGGAAGATTTCCACTGACGTGGAAAAGCTCTCTGTGGATCCTGTTTTCCGTTAATGATATCTGGATGGTATACTGTGCAGTTATCTTTTCATGACTCAGACTACACTGACTGTATCTCCCCAAATCTTGAAAGCAATACGTTCTTATATAGGGCTGTTCACACAGTCTTACTGTGTCTCTGTCTTTCAAAAATATACTGTAAGGTTAGATACAATGTCCAGATTGTCATAAAAATTGATTAATTTTGTCTCAATTCTCATTTTCTCAACAATCTTTGTCTTATGAATGGATGAATATAATTTTAACCTGGGTTCTCTTTGCAATCTTAAGATTGTCACGAGAATGGATTGGGTGTCGGTTTCTCTTCTTGTTACAGTCTTTGTCATGAGTTCTCACAGACCTTTAATGCTTGATATGTTCTCATTCTCATTACATATTCTCATTCCCATAACAAAGATTATAATGAGAGAAGAAAATGTCATAAAATTAATCCATTCTCATAACAGACTGTAATGAGGACAGAAAATGGAACAAAATTAATCCATTCTCATAACAATGTGAAGATTGTAATGAGAACAGAAAATGGCATGAAATTTATCCTTCCTGTGACAATCTTAAAATTGTACCAGGGCAGGAAAGGATACAAGATTAACTGGCCCCCAAGACAAAGGCTGGAGCTAGAACTGAATATCCTACCAAAGTAATCCGTTCTTGTGACAACACCTAAAGGGGTAATTCTGTGACTGTGTGGAGATGCCATATGTAAATCCCTAACCACTTTAAAGTCCTCTAAAATAGGTTGAGACTTATACCTTTATTGCCACAGGGGACTAAAAAAAATATATAGCTTGCAACGCTCAGACCTTACGGTCAAAATTCTGGTTCATGATTGGAAACAAGTCATGTAAGTAACATTGTTAGAATTTAAAGTACTTAAGTATAATGTGCTGAACTCTGAAAACTCATTATTTTGCATTGAAAAAGTGGACCAAATAATTCAGGAGGTATTTTTGACCTCGAGGCTTTTTTTCTGTGTTGCATAAAAGCTGTAACACATCTTATTCCTGACATATGTAGGGCTTCATTCACAAAAGGATTCAGATACTGAACACCCACTTTAAGCATCTTAGCTAACAATTCTGACCCACAAACCTCTCCTCAGCCCCCTGTTGATGGCTGGAGGTACCAGAAGGTTTTAGGCAGTTTCAGTTTTCTGTGTCTGAGTAGCTTAGGGTATGCTTGTGGATGTGCCTGGGTCTTACCTTGATAATCTCCAGGAGATGTGAGGATTGAATGTTACCACCTCCTTCCTGCCCTGCAGACTATCTTCTGATGCAGCACTCTGCTTGCGGTGGATCCCCTTCCAAAGCGCCCGACTCTCTCTCCTTTTGTGTAAAGAGGCTAGACGGCTAATGCAGGTTGGTAGGTACTGCTCTGGCAGAACAAAGTGAAGAATTAGGTAAGACAGCATTCAACATGGCAGAGCGCACATCCCTTTGCAGGAACTTAGCTCATACTCTGGTCATGACGTGGTAATCACTAAGAAATGAGCGTTTGCCAAACATTTCCTCTTAGGGACATACGCATGCTTCAAAAGCATGAAGGAGATATTTTTTAGTCATAATTTATACCACAATAATATTAAAATACTCTCCATGTCTTATAAGAATTTAGTAATCTGTACTGATTTTTTTGTTTTAAAAACGCTCAATGCTCTTTTTTCTCTGCTTTACGAATATTCTGGACAAAATACCCAACCCATTATAATCCTTTATGATTTTCTTGAAAGTAATTGTCTTTGTGTGGCCTCATGCATGAAAATGAAGTCATTGTCTTTGACTCCTATCTATTCTGTTTGATAGGGTACACTCTCCTTAGTGAGCTATTAATATATCTTCCGTTGTCCCCCGAGTATTGATCTATCGAAGACAGAGCTGTGTTGTTGAACTCTCAGTAGCTTTTATTTTTACTATGACAAACACGCACTGTTACAGCTGTGAATTTTTGTTCATTGCAGTTCTTACACCATTTCCTGAAAAATGTAACTACAGATCCTCTCCCATCATTTAACTCCCAAGCATTTTCACCCTGTACAGTACAGGGTATATAATTGAGTAGCATAAATGAAGGCTAACTACTCTTATTCAAACTTACGTGCCTCATAATATAACCAGTATTTTCTTCATTAACCTATGTAAATTAGCACAGTAATAAGCAAAGAGAGTTACAGAAATTGTAGTCAGTCATTTTGTCTTTGTGTCATCCTTTTCTTCACTCAGGCTTGCAATTTCTTTTGGATTGGCTTAAATTTGCAAAGTCTGACAATGAGTATTCAGAGTTACCACTGAATTTTGAAAAATAATCCTGCATGTTTCCCAACATTTTTCACGACAGGAACAATTCCTTGTTCACACTGTTATCCTTTCACACTCCTCCTTGTCCACTCAGGTCAAAACCTGCTTTTCAATAAAGCCAGTGAGAATTCCTTCCCTATGTCTTATCTTCCCTCACCTGAAATGTGAGCTCATTGAGGTGGAGACCGCTTGCTTTAGCTGTTTCTAAAGTACCATGTACATGTGCAAAGGCATGGGCTCACTTTTTAGCAGGTCTCAAGCAGTAATATTTGCTAGTTGTTCCTTTACCTCTGATGTCTAAAAACCATAAGTCCTTCAAAACTTCCATTTGCTACTGAACTATACGTTTCCAGTAAGCTGAATTCCTAATGCTTTTTTGAGAAAGGGGAAGAGAATAAAATGGCTGAAGTTTAATCTAGAAATATGTTGCAATGATTTTAGAGGGTATATAATCTAAAAGTGACCGAGGTTTGTAACAGTTAATCTGTTCTTAGTTATTTTTCACCACTGTTGTGTTAAATTTCAGCTGTGGGGTGCTTTCCAACTGGAGAATTCCTATAAGCTACCTGACAATAAATTCTACATATTATTTTATGCAGTTTACTAGCAAATTCTAGTGGCTTTTTTGTTGTAGGGATCTTAAAGACTCCTTTGGTGTTTTACAGATGTATTACTAAAATGGATAATGTACATGGAATTAGATACTTCATCTAATTCAGAATTCAGTGGACCCATTGCAAAGCAAAGTAAGTTCTTATGAATGCATTGTATGTAAATACATATGTTTCATAAATTATACGGGTATAATTTGGGATATAGTTTATAAGTTCTCTTTATACAGACTTACAAAATGTATTATAGGAGTCAGTAACCCACAAGAACCATTACTGTTTTTCTTCTTGTGTTTTATCTTTGTATTATTTCTTTGTAAACTGTTGGTCTACATACACTCTTATAAATGAGAAAAGGACTGTTTCTGAGTGCTAAAGGCATTTGGCTGTAGAACTTTCCCCTCTGTCAGCCAACCTGCACCAACTCAGAGTAAGTCACATTTTACCAGTAAAATATTCATTTGACTGTAGATAGTTCATGACTTATTTATGAATAGGTATGTTTTTATGGGGTGCAGAATTAACTCTCCTCTCTATAGCAGACAGATGCTAAAAGGAAGGGTAGGCAGTGACTTCAGTTGCCTATGCAACTGTCAGTCAGTGCATATAAATACCTTACTTTTTTACTCCTCACAGTAAGAGTACCTGACATTTGGTTGCACTGTATTCTATAACCAAAATGCTATGGGAGTGGTTGGAAAGACAATGAAATTAAATATTCTCTATAATGGTGTGTTTATATGGGGTTTTCATTATATATTTAAGGTAACTGTCTTGGCATCTTTTCCCAGCAAAATATGTTTTTTTTTCCTCTAAATCAGCCTTCCTGGTTTAAAAACTGCAAAACAATGAGGACCCTAAGGCTGGATTACACAGCCAAAGCTTTTACATTTTGGGCAACTGAATCATGATTAACAATATAAGTGCATAAAATAATTAAATTACCTTTTTAGCATGTTTTATGCTGAAGTAATCTTCCTTGGCTGGGTCACTTGCTGGCCAACTAGGTGCGAATTTATTTTCAAGTTTTAAACAAAATGAGGAAGATTTCACATTTTCTAAAGAAGAACATGAACTCAATATGTTTTTGACATCAGCCACGGTTACCAAAAGAGAAGGAAGTCCTAGGAGCCCAATCAGTCCTTAATGTCCTAGATTTATATTGCAGGTTTCTATTATGCCAGAATCCATGCAGTTAATTCAGCTCGTTCAGAATGCACGGTGACCTGTGGATATGGAATAAATCTGGGATTGCCAGAATTTACGCACACAGATCAATTGCACAGAACAAGCCCAGTATTTCTGATGTATTTAGGATGCACTGGCCTCACACCCTCGAAGCCATATGGGGCCCTGGAGGGGCTATTTCTCTGGGAATCTGGGACAGTGAGCACCTAACTGTTCAACTGTGTTGCCTGAAAATGGCTTCAGCTCTAAGATAAATTATTACAGTTGGCAAACTAACAAAAGTGATGGTTTACTGTCAAAATCATATCGGTGTTACTGTAATAGGCAGGGGCTAGAATAAATCGATTATGAAAAGGTTCAGAGGATAGCTTAGTATTGATGCTTTCACTTTTGATTTGGAAATAAGGCTGAAATATTCTTTTGCAAGGGTGTAAAAATTCTTGCCCTGTTTGTTCTGCGCATTTATGCCCAGGGCCAGGTTATACCCTTAGTTCTTTGTCCACCTTTGTGACAGTGCAAAGCCATGCTAGGCCTGAGACAAATGAGAGAAATTCTTCCTTGGGAGACACAGCATAAGCTGTGGTGCTAGGAAGCACATGCTTCCTGAACGGTCCCTTGGGATACAGTAACACCCTGACCTGGCCACTTCTGTTCTGTCAGGAGAGGGAAAACAAGAGCAAGGCTCCCAAACCTGCTCTTCCTCCTTTTCTTCATTGTCACAATGCGATGTCATACAGTATTTAGCTGTCCGATGCAAGCTTGCTCTGTCAGTCTCCCAAGCGACCAGAAACTGCGAAAAAACACGTGGTGTTGCACCTACAGCTAAACCTAAGCTCATGTATCTTCCCTCTCAACAGAGCGTACAATTCAGGGTCAGTGCGGTGCCCACTGCTTTCCCACATCCTCTGGTCAGAGCAGGGAATAAACACCTGTGCTCTTGTTACCCGTAATGTGCCAATTACGTATGCCCAGGGGATTAAACCGCAGACTTTTGGGTGGGGGACTTGCTTCCCAGACCTGACCAAGAGGAAGGGAAGAGATGGGATTCCTCCACAGGCTGGGAAGGGATACACTACCTCCAAAAGGTCAGCAAAGGGAAGGGGAAGTAGAAGGGTCCCTCTCTGCTCCCATCCCTCACAGCTTCACAGGGATGCAAGCTGTTTTTTATTCCGATTTTCAGGCAGATACCTGATTCACCATTTCTGGTTTTCATATCGGAATGAATTCAAGACCTTCTAATTGCTTAAGAAGGAGATAATGAATTCTACAAAGATTACTTTTATGTTACGTTAATTCCTATTTACCAGTTGTTGCAACTAGCAGACTGTTATTACATAGGAATAATAGTTGCTCACTCGGTAGTTATTGATCTGCTTTCTGGTTTGATGAGAGGTCTGTGCTAAGCTGTGGGAGGAAGCGGAAGCCCCACAGGTCTGATCTCAGAGTGATACGCCTCTGCCTTTCCCAAAGTTGTGAGTCTGGCTGGACCCCCTGTTCAACAGGTAGTGATGAAATTGCAATCTCAATATGAACTTTCCCAAAGCCTAGTGATATTCATATCCAGGATTTTGGTTTGTATCCAACTCTAATCCTATTATTTGCTTCAGCCATTCAAAGATCATCTTATCCATCAAATCGCTATTTAAAATGTGTTTTTATGAATAAATTGGTTTTCTACAGAGATACAGGGATTGGATTGAATTTTATATCATTCTGTTTGTATCTCTATATGTGTTAGTGTTAAATTGAAAATTACAGTTTGGCTAACTGATTCTGTTTACTGCCTGCTTGTTTATTACTTTAAATACATCCATTGTTCTTCTTAATTAATTTCAGAAGATGCAGAGTACATAACCTATAAAGAATCACGTATCGTCTAACCCTGACTCTGAAAAAGGGATTAACGCCTGAGGAGGGAGAGTATGGGGGAGGACTACTATACCACCTCATGCACTGGCAGGTCGTCCGTAATTTGTTACACTTTGTTCTCAGTTTTAGGGTCTGACTGGACACAGTAGTGATGTCTTTTCAAGTTATTTATTTTGCGTGGTTTAACACTGTCATACTGCTAGTAAGATATCTGGGACCTGTGAGTGCACTTTGAAAACCGGATTCTCAGGTCTCTGTAAATCTTCCGATTTCCAGTGGTTCAAGGAGGATTAAGAGTTATGTCACACAGAAAGGAAAAAAAGTTAGTCTCTCGTTAGTTCTCATTAATTTCTTCCAGCTATAAGGGGTGCACCAGCCATGAAAAAGTGTCTCATTAGTCCTGTGCTAGAAGTCACTGGGAAAGGCAACTGGACAGCTTCAGGCGGGGTGTTCTGTTTGGGTAGTGATTTCTAGAGGTTTCACGACTGGGAAAGCCAAGAGACTTTTATAGGGTTCCTCATTTCTCCTGGAAATAAGGACCTAGGGCCACCTTTCAGAAGATGATGACAGATACATTAAATGACTGACACAATTCAGGTTTCTAACTGAATGATTAAAATGGGAGGAAGGCACATTCTTGCACACGTTTGAAAATCCATCAGATACGTATTTGCATATTTAGGCACCGAAATGCCTTTGGTTAGTTGCTTCTTCTCTGTAGAATGCTACAGGACTGCTCTTTTCTTGTTTTCAAAGGAGTTTAAATGTTACATTATTTAATATTCTTATAGACATATTTCTTACCATTTTCTGAAATATTTAGAAAGCTGCTGAATCATTAGCAAAGGAAGTTCGCCTGTTTTACAAAAGACATTGTTTTAGAAAACATTTCTGCCTTTTTTCTCTTCCCTTTGATTTGAAGAGGTTATTTGGGCTGTAGCTCAAGTGTGTCTGAGTGTCTGTCTCTCTGTTCACCTTATCTGGGATGCAAATTGGACACTTAGAAATGTTGCTGCTTTGATTCAATTTATGGGAGGGCAAACTAAAAAGGAATGAGATTCTCAGATCTTTGCAAGTTTATTTGTTGACCGTAGCAATGTTTAATTAAATATATTTATGTAATATCTTTATGCAGATCTAAAGATTTCAATTTTCTTGTCAGGCGGGTTTCTGCTTTTACCTAAGTATTACAGCTGCACAGACAGGAACAAAGATGCCAGTACATTGAAATATCAGTAAATTGTTAAGGACCTCCTGGGCTCACAGTTTCCATCTAACTAGGGATGACGTATTCTTAATTTTTGTAGCTTTCTGTGGTTATATACAGCCAATCAATTGTAATTTTGGCGCTGGAATTAGTGGTAGGAATCAACCTTTAACACCAACTCTTAACACAACGCTATCTGAAATATCCACCTCCACCCACGCATAAATCATATAGTGCCAACAGCTAACCTATAGTTATGATTCCAGCATTTCATGTGACAGTCTGAGGTAACTGTTGGTAAAGATTCGATTTTTAATGGCAGAGCTTTTAACTCCGCTCTCTGCAGAACCCTTGCAAGTTAAGTTAAAAATAGCGCTGCCGTATGGATTGTTAACCTGAAGGTCATAGTAATGCTCACTTTGCGGAGAGCAAGACAGAAGATTTTTTTTTCCTTTTGCAACAGTAACTAAAAATGTTGAAAAGGCTTAGAATCACTGCAAAAGAGATGCGTACAAACCTGCTTCAGGCCATATTAAGGTATCGTCTGTTTTAAGAGAGGAGAGAACTTCAAAATCTGGCTCACATCCTCAGCTGCGCTGACTGGCAGCAAGTTTGCCTATAATTCGGCTTTGCACTTTCAGTGCACAGCAGATTGCAGGACACAGTTTTGCAGTTGGAGAGGCTCACTATGGGGCATGTAACATTTGGGACTGTTGAAACCCATTTTGTCCTGGAGCTACTTCTTCCTAACAGTACTACGATTACCAGAAACCCTTTGTTACCCAATTAGATATGTTTAAGATTACCTTTTGGTACTGATATTCACAGGCCTGCTGTATTATTTTCCATTATTTTGTCCTTAGAATAATGAAATGTTAAAGGAAAAGAGGAATCCTTCATATTATATGGCTGTCACAGAAAAGTCAGCCTGGCTATGAAGTAAAAGAGCAAACCAATAAGGAACAGCTAAATAAAGAGTAATATTTAATTCAGACTTAAAGTCAAGGAGCATTTGTCAGCATTTGCATGAAAGAACGCTATAAACCTGAAGGCTGACAACTTACAGAATTTATATATTCTCAAGTACATGGTAGACTGAAAGCTTTAATCTATTTCAGTTAGTAGGAGCTGGTGAGAAAGGAATATTTTCCTGTCTTTACCTGTATATGCAGAAACATTTCCTTCAAAATGTTTAAAGCCAGAAAAGAAACACCCTGTTCATCAAAGGGCACTGTGTGCAAGTAGGACGGAGCTGTCTGGGTTAACTGACTCAACATCAGGATTAAGAGATAAATAATACAATAGAACTATGGTCTTAAGTGAATGTAAAGTGGGAATTTGCATTTATCTCAAATCAGCTTTGAATTAATTACTCCAAAATTTCAATTGATTAATTAGAGAATCCCATTAAGAGAGGCATATAAATTGAAAGTGAGATTTGGCAGTTTATTCAAAGTGGGTTAAGTCTGTTGGAAAATAAACTGAAGAAATATTAAGAATATAGAACTTTATAAAAATTTTCAGCCTTAGGCAGATGCTGAAAGCCAAGTCTGAGTTTGTCCCACCTTAAATTTTATCTCTTTTACCATTAAGCAGTAGGCTGCTCGTACTCACTATGGAATTACATATTTTATTGTATTTAAACACACCATTATTGTAATTCAAACTGCCTTGCCCAGTTTCTTCTTAGCAATACGGTGGCAAGACTGAAAGATAAGGTAGCGCTGTTTCCAAAAAAATACGTATTGTTCTAGATTTAGTCCAAACAAGAATGCTCTGCTAGTGCCAGAACTCTTTATTCAGCTGCTCTTTAACTTCCCAGCCAGGCTGACTTTTCTGTAATGCAATGGATGGCGGGGTTAAGCATCTTTGTGTGATGTGGCGTCTCCAACACGTGGTGAGAGATGGAGCTGAGACACCAACATGACATGCAAGGCTCAGGACAACAGCCATGCGGCACCGTCGTCCGAAGCCTGTAACTCGGTTATAAGGGGGCTGCCTTCAGATGTTGGCAAGGTGCCTGCCCACCGCCTGTGTCCCACACAGAGCTTTGCTCTGACCGAAGCAGATTCACGATGATTAATGCGATGAGGAGAATCGCTCTCATCCGTTTGGCCTGTTCTCTCAGCCCCTCCTGATTTACAGCTCATCTCCCGAGAAGAAAACCTTCATTTCCCTGCTCCTGCAAAGTGGATGCCTCAGACCGTATTTGTTTGCATGTGTATGCAGGCGGTTCCTTATTTGTTCTCAGATCCCCTAGCTCAGAAGGATGAGGGTGAAGACTAACAATGAGAAGTTTCAACAAATCAGCCGACCGGCGTTTGCTGCAGAGTGGAAGCCGCGGTCGCCTGCGTGCCAAGCACAGGCTACCTCAAGCAGTGGGCACAGAACTGACAGGCACCAAAAATCGGTGAATACCGTTATCAGTTGTTCAAAGTTCCTTGAGAAGAAAAGCAAAGATCATAAACTGAGAAGCAGGTTTTTGCTATTTCAGACGCCTACCTCTAGTGTAACTACCAGGGTGGGTATCATTCGGCCAGAGGAACTGCGCAGTGAGGAACGAATCTTACTTCATTTGATCCAAACTGTGGAATGTAACTTTGTGAAGCTCTGAAATAATTGTGGATGTTAAAAATGGCAACAATAAGTTAGTTTTCCAGTTATGGCCATCAATGAAACTTATGTGATGTGGAATGAAGGAAATACTGTGTAAAGCAAATTATTAAGCTTTAGAACCCTCATATATTAAAGTCTCTCTGTTGTGCCATGAAAGACCTGGTATTAGGTAAGCCCCATATAGTGTGACTGAATGTGTTCAAAGAAGAGCTGAAAATGATGATAAAAAGGCTGAACTGGGAATAAAGACTGAATGTGAAAACTTTCTCTAAAAGTTGAATTGTGCCAATGTATTGTAACTTACAGAAAAGGTGAAAAAGTGAAAAAAAAAGGATAAAATAGAGGTATATATTAAAAATCAAACTGAAACACTCCTGATTGATAGAAAGAAGTGCATGGCAATCAATAACATTACACTTTTTATTCACTCAAAGATGGGAGAGATCCAATTAATGTTTAGCCTCATAAAAAGGGTTTTAAAATCAAAATTTCATTCTTTTTGAATGAAAGAGTTTTCACATAATTCTACCAGAGAGGGTTTAATAAATACCCTCTGCATGGATATTAGTAGAATATACCAGTTGCTAAGCTACTGCAAAACATCTTTTTTGAAGAAATTGGCCTGTTGTTAAGTGTTTGCTGGACCAAAGTGCACTGGTAGATTGGTTATGGGTGCACAGACTCAGAGAGCACTTGGGAAGTCTATTCAGGAGTGTTTGTCTATGTGTGCAGACATAAGCACGGTAGCTCTTTCAGGCTACTCATGGGAGAAAGGTCTCGTTGTCTTTCCCCAGCAGTTCGTAATTCGGAAGATTGAAGCAGATTCTGGCCTTTGACAAATTAATATAATACCTGAAACATTCAGAATTGATTTGCATCTCAAGTATGTTCTCAACAGTCGGTTTTCAAATTCTGTGGCAAACAGGGAGGGGAGGTGGCCTTGTGGGTTTGGGGTCGAATAATAGCAAAAGTAAGTTATAGTCCTTTAACCAGCTCTTGTTACATGTGACAACACTCATATCAAAACCTATGGCACTTAAATCTTGAAGCCTATCAAGTGCTGTGGTAAGATAAAATACAAAAAAATGCAGTTACTGTTTCTGTTATCTATTAGGTATAATAAATATACAAAAGCAGGACTATTCCTTATATATCTTTCTTATAATTTCATTGTACACTAGGAGGTCATTTTCAGTAAGTCTGTTTTCACTGCCAGGCTGAATTTTATCTATTTCCTTTTGATTCCCTGTTATTGAAGTATCTGAGCACTTCACAAAATCTATACAGCCTCAGAACATCCTTATGAGGTAGGAAACTGTTATCATCACCCTGGTTAAGGGAAAAGAGCACTTATCAAGTTAATTGGGAGTAGGCTCGAATCCTTAGTATCGATTCATCTTTTTGATAGGAATAGGAACTAGAAATACGGGAAAATGTCTCTTTTTAACTATGTCTTATTTTGTCCTTTTTGTTTTCTTTCTTCCCAGTTATCCATAGACGGTTTTAAAAATAGGTGCACACCTAGATGTAGAATGACCTGTATCAGGGAACCGCTGAGCTCTCGGTACTCAGCAGCTGCTGCTGCTGGAACTGGCGGCCTCTGTATACTCAAGATTTGTTTTTTGAAGCAGTACGTGAACTGGTGGCGCCTGGATATAGCTCTGGCACGTGGACCACTACTGGAAGCAGGTCTAACAAAAGGCCACCAGGTCGGCTTCTCCATCCGCCCCAGGCAGAGCTGCTGCAAGAAGGAGGACGATGTCCTCATACTGTGCCTCTGCCCAGCATCCTTCTCCTCGCCCTCCCGCTTTATTTCCATAATTCTCTACATGGGCAAGCAGCTAATTCCTTGCACCAAGGAACTAGTCTTTACACTATGTCCCCCAGATTAGGAGGGCATAAAGAGATTCTTCTAAGCCTGGGTAGACCT